CCATGGATTACAAGGTTTGAACGGCGACTCCTGTCCTCAAGATCAGTCATTTTTGCATTTTGTTTCATAATAATTTGCTCAAGAATGGTTACAGTTTGTTTCAGAGAATCAATCTGCATAGTATTTGTTTGGATTTCGTTCAGCGTTTTCTCGATACCCGTACATTTAGACGTTAGGCCTTTCATTTTTTTTTTTTTTTTTTTTTTGTCATTACGCTTGTGTCGAGCCCTGAGCTCGGAAATTTTATTTTTAATCACGGTTTGTCCGTCAATGATTATCTGAAACATTTCTTCAGTTGTAGGCCCCGGGTTTGACTCCACATCCCCGTACTAACAAACAGTCATGCGCAATATGATACAAAAACCGTGGGCACGGCACAACTACAATCGCGATATCGCCACTTCTAAATGGTCCGAATGTATAACCAACCAGTAGGAAAAGCCAGCAGAAGTTAGGCGACATGTTCGCTTGACAATCGCCGCGCCCACCGAAGATGAAATTCTGTGGCAGCTCCTTTTGTAAGTGTCTCACAGGTGACGTAACCGCAGACGCGGAAATCGATCCAAGCGCTGCGATGACCGTGCTGGACTTCAGCGCATGAAGATGACTGGCGGCTGGCACGAAATTTCTGAGCCTCATCGTAGATGCCAGGTGGCTGGTGATGTTGCGTTCCCCGCTGGAACATCCGTTGAAGCATGGCAGCGCCTTTTTTACAAATCTGACGAATTTCAATCATAATAAATTGATATACGTTACGCATGATCCAATAGCCTCCCAATAAAAAGGAAAAAAAGCGGTGAGCTTTTCTCCGGATACGCTCAATGGCGGGTCAGCTTTTCTCCGCGTCCGCCGGTTTTGCGGTGAGCTTTTCTCCGGGCTTCAGCCACGCATCTCCCCTCGCCTTGCCACTCGCCTTTACCGAAGTTCGCTTCTCGCCATCGACCCTGGCTATTACTATTATGACCCCGTCTGGGACGATATTTTACCGGAGAGCTGAACATAGAAATGAAAGAGTATACGGAGTTGGTTTTTGCTATGAGCGACATAATTGCGAACATCTGATTGGGCATCGGTTCACACTTCAAGTTCCGAGCAACTTAGCATTTTGATTATAGAAGCCGAATAAACGCAAGATTTAAAATATCACGATGAACACGGGTTTTAAATGTTGCATAGCATATCCTCAGCTTCGATGTTCTCTTTGAAACCTAAATAATATTCACCTATTTCGGTGTGCAGTGCCGATGCAAGTTGCTGAACATCATAGTTTTAAGAGTGCGAGTACAAATGTCTTGCTCCTAGGGTGTTACACATTTTTGAAAACCGGAGACGACGGACGAAGAAAAGGGACAACACACAAAACGTTTTGTGTGTTGTCCCGTTCTTCGTCCGTCGTCTCCGGTTTTCAAAAATGTGTACCATCAACCAGCTCGCCTGCCTACTTACTTTATCTTCAATCATCCTAGGGTGTGTTGATTGTTGTCGAAGGCTGACCTGATACACAGCGCGATCTTTGTTGTTTGCCTACTCAGTGACCTGAATGAATGCGCCAGCAGCTCTCCAGCCTGGGGAAAAGTAAAGATCTTAAAAAGGAAAAGCAACGACATGAAAAGATTAGTGAAAGAGACGATCAGGATAACGACGTCTGCCGAGTGCATCAGTCACGCGTCCGTCCACTTAAGTACGCAGGCCGAAAAGTTTTTGCGGCTGACTGGTCTGGGAAAACCTGGGTGACCTGGGTTGTTGAAAAACATTTATTTCAGGAAAGGTGGGGAAGGGAAGAGGGGTGAAAGTAACGATGGCGAGGAGAGGGTGGGTGCCCCTATTCCGGGGTTTCAAGCGCGGCGACGGCTTGCAGAGCACGGCCTATGAGCAATCTCGGCCCGCAGGCCTCCTCACTCCTCAGCCCCGCTTTTCACTTCTCAAGAGTAAAATCACATCTTGGCACGAGTCCTGGTATCTTCTTACACACCCAAGCCAGATGATGAATGTCCGCTCAGTGTGCCCCGCAGAAAGGACAGCTCGGTGCCGCGAAGCGTTCCGGGTGCCATACATGCAGCTGGACTGGCGTCATAACCGTGCCCGTTTGCGGTCTTCGCCACACAAACTCTTCTTCCTTCGTCAGTTCCCTGCTAGGCGCAGGAAACTCCATCCTACCCTGCCTTCTGACCTTCAAGAACTTTTCATAGGGTAGCTCATAATCCGATGCCTCTGGGGCCGGGGGTGAGTCTAGGTTTAACGCATCTCGGGCCGCGGCATTCGCCGCCTCATTGCCCGCTTGCCCCATATGGTCTGGAGCCCAGATCAAATGAACCCCACAACATTAGCCTTCGCTAAAATTTTCATCGCAGGTCACCCCTGTATACTTCGAGCGTAAATCCTGCATGCTTTTTGAGAGTCAGATATTATCGCAGCCCTAGAGTTGCACACCGCCGCAGAGATCCTACGTCGAAAGTCCGCTTTTCGGGTTGTCGAAGACATTCAAAACGAGAACCCCGCTGTCCCCATTTTTCGCTGTTATGACCGTAAGAAAGCAGCACAAGACACCGCATCCGTCAAAATCATGCTTCGTTGCGGAGTACAATTTATGCACGCGCGTAGCGACGTAGAGATCCCCCTCAAAGGTCACATAATCCTTGATCTTCCCCGGTTTCCTCCCTGGTTCTTGTAGCTGTATGACCGCCGGGGGTGCGGTTTCTTGCGAGACCCGCAAGCCGAGACTGGCCTGCTTCCGTCCCATCACCCGGCAGTTCCGTTGCCAAATTTGTAGCTCTGGATCCTGGCGCATGTTTCGGCATCAGACAAATCCACGTCCTGTGGCCCGTCGATCTTCTTCCTTCCCTTCGTGCCGTGATGCAAAAAATCTCGCTTGCTTCTGCTCCACCGTCCTTCCTAGGGTCTCCAGCCCCGTGACTCTGTGCGTGAATAACATCAGCTGGCCAGTGACGCATCCCGACCGGGAGAGGAGCTCAACCAATATTTGCTAAACCCACTCGTGGAGAGAAACCGCGTCGAGCGACGACACGTTCATCTTTCAAGGCGGTAGCGATCCCCGCTCGGTTTTCTTTGTTGCATTCCGGACGCTACTGCGCTCGTTCTGGCCGTGTCCCTGGGTGCGGCTCCATCCCATCCCGGCTGCGATCCTTCCATTGGAGCTGCTGTGCGCGCTGGCGGGCCGCTTCTCTGTGATTTCTCCGGCGCCGTGCCGGGTGCTTTCCTCTCAGGGAGTGCATTGTTCGTTTTCTCCTCCTGTGTCCCCTCGGTTCCGGTGCTGTCGGCTGACGCGCCGTTTGCCCTTTCTCGCTGTTCGGCTGTTTCTTTTCTTTCTCCATTTCGTCGGCTCCCACATAGCCGACTCCTGTCGAACACCGTTTGCTTCGGTCTCTCCTTGCGCGGTGTCCGTGCTGTCGTGCGAATCCTGAGGCTCGGCCGGTGGGAGATCCAGTGGCCGAGTGTTCGTGCTGCTCTCCATGCTTTCCCTGTCGTCCAGCAGATCGTTGTCTTGTGCCGCATCCGCAAAGCGATGGGTCTTCGCGGCGTACGTGGGCACGCATTCCGCCTCCCCGTGGCCATAGCTACGGCACTGGCGACACCGCGGCGCCCGACACTGCCTCCGTATGTGCCCCAGCTGGTTACATCGGAGGCACCGCGGCGGCCTGCCTGGCACCAAGGCTATCACCAGATAGCGGCTGAGGCTAGAGCACTATATAGCTCCTTCGGAGCAGAGTAGCGCAATCTAGAACGCCGTCTCTCGGCGACTAGCGGCGAACGCCCGGAGGTTCCAACTGCGGTCAGAAATGCATGGAGAACGTGAGAAAATCGTTGTTTCTTCAGTTTTGTGGGGATGTGCGGAATGGAAATCATTTTTGACATAATAATGAAACATTTTAGAATAATATGCGATAAGTTTTGTCCCATACAAGGACGTAACTTTTTTTAAAAAATTGCCTGAGCGGCATCATGCAGCAGACGACACGGCGACGTCACACCATTCACGTGACCCGCTCCGGCCAACCCGAAAAGCCCATCTCCGCTGCGAGCAAAAATCGTCTGCTTCAAACGCCATTGCCTTGGAAATTGCCTTCTCAAAATTTGCACACGCATCCGATATTATTAAACTTTTGATAAAGTGTTTAGTGCTTTACTAACTTCACGACAGACTAGTTTTGAAAAGTGTGAACTCGCCGTTCATTTTTTAATCAGCCGTGTTGTATCGATCTCCATGTATTCTCCCATAGGGCGGGCCGCCTCTTGGAACCCTGAGTACCACGTGACTCGCTCCGAGCCGCTCTGTCGGCCATCTTGTCGGAAAAACACGAGGTTCAAAGGATTGCGCTACTCTGCTCCGTAGGAGCTATATAGTGCTCTAGCTGAGGCTTGCCTGGTCTGGTAGCTCGTCCTTCGTGGTGCCCTCCCAGAGCACGATGGGCGCGGAACGGGTTGAAGTTTCCACCTCATAGTTCCCACTCGGGGATTTCCACACCTCCCTGGATATCTTGACGATAGTCCCGTATTCTTCGAAGGCCGCGCGAATCTCCCCGTCGGTCACGAAGGTCAGGAGCCAGTGGATACGAATCCCAACTTCCGTGACGTTCGGGTCGATCACGAGGCACCTCTTGCCCTTGATGACGAGTTCCTTGGCGCGGTAACCAGTTTTTCATTGCTGGGTGTCGCGGTGTATGTATGGGCAGTATTGTGTTGATGCCGTGTGAGCTTATCTTTGACTGGAATGTACGAGGGCCTGGGAAAATGAAGAGGGAAGGGTGTAGGGGGTTTTGAGGAAAGAAAGAGGAAAAGAGGGGGACCACGGGTGGCGAATGACATATGTTTGTCCAGTGAAATAAAGTTTGTAGCTTCGTTTGAGACTTCGTCCGTGTCATTCTGTGTTTTCGCCCTTGTCCATATCCCCGTCTCGGGTTTACAACTATGCTCAATTTACACCAGCTAGCCTGCACCATCACCATTGCTTCATTCTTGGTACTCCTCCTCTGAACACGCAGGGACATCAAAAGCGGAGCCAAAGACATCGAAGAGAGAACGCGGAGAGCCATCAAAAAGGTTATCCCCTGCAATGTCCTGGACCCCCGAGTCCTTCCAGAGGAACACAGGGAAATGTTCGATGTCGTCCTTTGCAGCCATTGCCTTGAGGCCGCATGCGCTGACGAAAGCTCGTTTCAGAAAGCGATGCAGAACATCGGAAATCTGGTTGTCCGCGGAGGCCACCTGATTTTGGGTATCATTGCTGGATCTCATGAATACGAAGTTGGAGGCATCACGCTGCCATCTCTCGCTCTCAGTGATACGATGGTGAAAGATGCTTTGGCGAAAGCGGGATTTGAAATCAAGCGCTGGAATACGTTAGGCAAAAATGACACACCGGAAGCAGCAAAGATATGGCAGTGTTGGGAATCTTCTTTTGTTATTTTAACTCGAAACCTTTGAAGTGGTGTCGGGGATCTCATCTGCACGTCCGCTATAGACAGACTGGTTTGATAACGTACTTAGGCTTGCTGAGCGAAAGGTCTTCCGTTTCTGGCTTTTCTTGATGCCTTTCCATTTTGGTTCGTGGCAGTTTGATAGATATAGTAGTCTGTATACTTACTCAATAAAAGTTTTGTGTACTACAGTGTGAAGCAAATGACGTTCCTTGAAAAGTTATATGTCATTTCTTTTCATTCCGGGAAAAAAATAAATCAATATATATATATATATATATATATATATATATATATATATATATATATATATATATATATATATATATAGGCATGTTGGCTTGGAGGCCGAAGGCGTAGAAGACGCAGATGCAGGGCGACGGTAGAAAACGAACCAGGAGGATTTTATTCGACGTTTCGACCTGAGGCAGGTCTTCGTCAGGAATCAACCAAAGCATTCCTGATGAAGACCTGCCTCAGGTCGAAACGTTGAATAAAATCCTCCTGGTTTGTTTTCTACCGTCACCCTGCATCTGTATGTATGTATGTATATGTATATATATATATATATATATATATATATATATATATATATATATATATATATATATATATATTGGGCGGTTTCATTTGTATTCAGGCAACGAGGTGCAGTCGTTTTTTTTTTTTCTTCAAATTTTTATATTTTGTAGCGCATGTTCCAAGAAGAACAATCCTTTTTATTTTAATGTGCTGACATGTTTAGTTTCTGAGAAAAAAATCTCAAAGAAGCGGGAAATAACGACGAGATTTTGAAGATTGTCGTGTGTGGCGTTTTTCAATCACTCTCAATCTCAAAGTATTCAAAAGAGAGCGTTTATATTTTTTTAATGTGATATTGTCACGGCTGGTGACCAATAAACAAGAAATTAACAGGAAGAAATGAACGTTTAATGTGGCGAACTTGTGCCAAAAAAAAATAAAAGGGTACAAAAGATAATAACAGAGCGTCGCGGGCGTCGAAGTCGGCGTAGCAGCAGTACACTGTAGCAGCAGAGTCGAACGCTGGGGCGAAACTGGCCCCGCTCGCCTTGCGGAATCCCTTATGTACCCTCGTGGGTTTCTGGATCGTTCGGCGTAGAAGGTTCGGCGCGTAAAACATACTAACCTCGAATCAGCAAGACGGTTCTCGAATTCACTAGAACATCACATTACAGTGTCAACAAAAATTAGTAGCCGCGGCCAGGAATCGAACGCCGGCCTTTTGCGTGGAAAGCAAGCGCGATAACCATTATGCCACGCGCGCGCTGTCTACTTGGCCAGCTGCGCGCACGGCAATATATATGCAAGTAGGTAAAACGACATTATGACTACTATTTATTATCCGTCGCTTCAATCTTTGTAAAACTCCCCAAACATGCCTCCGCGAACAACTGTGACCTAAATTGCGGATTTTTTTTAGTCGACTAGTTTTAGTATCGCTTTCAATATAATGCCACGCGTAGAACCTTCCATGCTTCCACTTCCACTATGCAAAGTTTGTGTCTTAGTCACGTACGAGTACTGAGAAATAAATTATGAAACAGAAAAGGTTTTCACTTTTTGTTCAGTTTCAGCACTATGTATAAAAAAAAAACTTTTTATTTTTTTCGCATCGCGTTTTTTTACACCCTTCTTTTAGCATGCATACATTCCGTTAGAGGTATATTAGTTTTGAGTTTTGAGCCTCTACATATGCTAAAAAAAGAGCAAATGATGATAGCGGGTTTATGTGTTATCGGTGTACCTTTTATTCTTTATTATAATAATCTAAGCCACGTTTAATAAATAATCATATAAAAGACATTGATGTCGCTAGGCGAATAATAATAAGTTTGCAATTCCAAACGTGTAAACACTATAAAATCGCAACTGCCGAAAGCGGATTTCCAGACAATTTCCGCCGGTGCCATGATTGGAGAGGCCTTAAGCCTAAACCCTATACGCTACATAATATATACTACGTTGGAAAAATCAAAGTGTAATATTGTAAAACACTAGAGTAAAATGCATTTTTGGAAACCTGGATTTTTAAATGCGAAATTTTATATTTTTAATGCAAAATTCATGTTGATAACAAAACAGAATAGTTTCTTTAGCATATTTAGAGGCTTAAAACTCAAAACCAGTGCATATACCTCTAACGGAATGTATTGTGAGTAAAAGAAAAGTGCTAAAAAAACGCGACGCAAAAACAAAAAATTAAACATGATTTTTTTTTATATATGGCGTGTTGAATTTGAACGAAAAGTAAAAATCTTCTCTCTTTCATAATTTAGTTCTCAGTACGCGTACATGATAAAGGCACAAACTTTGCTTAATTTGGAAGGCAATGAAAGGTTCTAGACGGTGCTATTATTTTAAAAGCAATGCTTAAAGGGGCACTGACACATCAAAATCATATTTTTTTTTATTATCCGAAACGATTGAAAACTATGCCGGGACATTACCCTCAAAATTTGAGATTTGGGAATTCAGTATTCGTGAAGTAAAAAAACAATTTCCAAATGCCGAATTCGAAGTTCCCGCGCGATCGGCGCCGGTGCCTTGACGTCAAAAATTGAGGAGACCTGAGAGTCCACTTTCCTGTCACCACTCCCTGCTGTTGCCATGGCGACCCAAAGCGAGGAGGAGAGGAGCGAGCGCCGGCTAGCGCCGGCGTTGCGGCGGACCGGTTTTGAGCGGTGTCGCCTGTTTTCCGTTGGAGGATACAAATCCAGGAGACGGCACCACAACGAACTCCCGATTTTTGGTATTTCAAAAAGAAGGGCCGTAGTGCGTTCGCAATTGCGTTAAAAAACATGTTTTAAGATTGCCGTAATTAAATGTTATAGAGATGTCGCCTACAAAGCTTCTAAATTTCCTGATTTTTGACGTCACCGATCAAAAGAAGCGAGGAGGCGAGAGGCGGGAAAATCAAACGCCAAAAATAAAAAGGCGCGCGCGCGCGCGGGAAAATTTGTTTTCGCGTTGCGGTTTTTTTTGCGTGTCTATGACTACAACTTGCATCGTTTTAGACAATAAAAATAAATACGACCTTTGGGGTGTCAGTGCCCCTTTAACATAGTCGACTAAAAAAAATCCGCACTTTAGGTCACAGCTTTTCGCGGGCGCATGTTTGGGGATTTTTACAAAGATTGGATCGACGAATAATAAATAGTGGTTAGAATGTTGCTTTACCGACTTGCATATATATAACAATAAAAAATATCGAAGCTTTTTTTTTTAATACATTGAGGTTGAGAGTGGTTCAAAAACGCCACACACTACAATTGTCTAAACCCAACATCGGCATTTGCTCTTTTTTAGCATATTTGGAGGCTTAAAACTCAAATTCAGTGCAAATACCTCTAACGGAAAGTATTCTGGGTAAAAGAGTAGTGTAAAAAGAACGCGACGTAAAAAAAAAAAAAATTAAAAATGTGTTTCTTTTTTTTTATTGCGTGCTGAAATTGAACGAAAAGTGAAAACCTCTGCTTTATAATTTCTTTCTCAGTAGTCGTACATGATAAAGGCACAAACTTAGCTTAATTTGGATGGCGATGAAATTATTTTAAAAGCAATACCAAACATAGTCGAGTCAAACAAAAATATGCAATTTAGGTCACAGTTGTTTGCGGAGGCATGTTTGGGGGTTTTCACAAGGATTGGAGCGACGAATTTTAGATAGTAGTTATAATGTCGTTTTACCCACTTGCATATTATATCACACTAAAAAAAATATAGACGCTCTCTTTTGATTACTTTGAGATTGAGGGTGATTCAAAAAAGCCACACACGAAAATCGTCAAAACCTTGTCGTTCTGTCCCGCTTCTTGGAGATTTTTTCTTCTCAGAAACGAAAAAGATTGTTCTTCTTGGAACATGCGCCACGAAATATAAAACTTTGAGGCAAAATAAAAAATACGACCGCACCTCGTTGCCTGAATTCAAACGAAAACGCCCATATATATATATATATATATATATATATATATATATATATATATATATATATATATATATATATCGGCTGTTCTTTTTTCAACTTAACATATTTGTTTTAAAAAAAGCCGTGATAGTTACACTTCTGCGGTTTGTGCAGGTGAGTTATACGGCGCGGCCAGGGGGGCAAGTATAGGGGGCTAATCGTAACAATCAGTCGGCTAATTAATTAAAATTAGTTAGTTAACTTTTTAATTACTGAAAATAGACATGTAGGATCCTTTATTGGCGTGACAGATAGATGGGTGTCTGTCACCGTCGAGATCTGGATCGTTCTCCTGTCCTCGAGCTCCTTTCTCGCGCCTCTGGTTTTCTCTCCGAACCTTCTCGCCGGTTCGGATTACCTTGCCGCTACAGGGTTCCCCCCTAGCGTTGAGGCGCCTGTGAGGGGCCTCGAGCGATGTGAATTGTAGAGGCGTGTTGTGATGGCAGGCTTGGAGCATTGCCGAGATGAAAACGAACAGTTCGTTGGGCATGCTTGGTAGCATGGGAAGGGGAACTGTTTGACGTTAAACTTGTGGTAGTTGAGCTCGGGCGTTTTGGACTGGCTTCATCAATGTAAGTTGGTTTAGGACGGTCCAAGGAAGCGACCACCTCTTTCTTTTTAATGTCAAGAGTGAAATTCTTTGGACCACGCTGAAGAATTTTGAAAGGGCCATCATATGGATCTTGAAAAGGTTTCCGCACAGCATCCCGGCGTACAAAGACGTGCGAGCAGGTTGCTAGGTCGGGACCGAAGAATACACGGGGTTGACGTTGTTCTCTTGGGCTACATGGTTTAATGGCCTGCATCGCTGCACGAAGCATGTATGAGTAATCAAGGGGATCAGGCATTGTTATCTGTGCGGAAGAACAAAAGAAATCTCCTAATAATCTCAGAGTATAGTCCCATAAACAAGCTCCGCGGCACTGAACGCAAGATCAGCCTTAGTCGCTGTGCGAAGTCCAAGCATAATAAGAGGAAGGCTCTCTGACCAAGTCGATGATGAATTGGTCGCTTTCAGAGAAACCTTTAACTATCGGTGAAATCTTTCCACAATATGTCATTTGCTTCCGGGTGGTAGCCAGTTGTGTGAATATGATGAATGCCTAGGAGTTGTGATAAGTTGTGGAAGACAGACGACTGGAACTGTCTGCCCTGGTCAATTGTGACAGTTGACGGTACACCGTAACGACTAACCCAAGTGGACAAGGATGCTGGGGT